TGTGGGAAGCTGAAGAGTATGTGCACACTTTTCCCTCGAAGGGCTAAAACGTGTACAGAGAGGGGTGATCTACCTCGGGCTGTGGTTAGTCATTAAGGGCGCATACATAGGTCAGTTTTAGAATGTTCTAGAACTGGCCTAATGGAAGAAGGGGGGACTCTTGTCTTGATAATGGTGGTGATGGTGGTGGGACGCACTGGGTTTCTGTGCTTTGTAGGCATCTCTTCCACACAAACTGTACCTGTCTAGTAAAGCTTGTGAAATCCTTCTGATCCAAATTTCTCCCTGGATTTTGGGGTATCAAACGACCCGATCTTGACTTTGTTCAGACTGCTGCATGCTGTTTTCGGAACATATTATCGATGTGCTGTAATTCTTGCATCATTTAATGCGGGGGTCCCCAGCCTTTTCGACCCTGCTGGCACCTTTGAAATTCTGACCCAGGGTGGTGGGCGCAGGCACAAAATGGCTGCCACAAAATGGCTGGTTGCCACAGGAGGCGGGACCAGACACAAAATGGCTGCCGCAGCTTGCCTACCGTCACACGATGAAGATTCTTGGGCTGCGGTGGCAGCAGCTGTGAAACTAACATTTTGACACATCTGCACAGACAATCAAAAGCCTTGCTGGGCAAAAGCCCCACTTGGCTCGCCCACTGTCTAAAAACACTTGGTGGGCGTCAGGAAAGGAATTGTTGGGCGCCATGGCACCTGCCAGGCACCACATTGGGAGCCCCCGACTTAATGGGTTGTGGTAATGCGTATGCTTTGCCCAGTTCTGTTTTTTGGATTTCTGATTGGTTCTACAACCCTGATCCTATTGCATTGTTTATTGACTGTCCTATCCTGTCGATTGTCTTGACTCACTCTGGGTAATCCACTTTGAGTCCAAGTGAGAAAGCTGGACTATAAATGCCGTAAAATAAAATAAAAACAAATACGTGCACTGGTGACATCAGAGCGCAAAAAGGAATCCAGATTATGGGAACCCATCAAGACGCCCTTCCTCCCTTTTGACTGTGATTTAATCAACATGCAGATGTTTGGGTGGACATTAGTAAACTGTATGGAAACCAGTGCTCGGAAATAAGGAGGCACAAATTCCAAAATTAATGATGGAGGCTTCTAAATTAAAACAGGAAGAGGAGGTGGCGTAAGGTGCGAGACAAAGCAAATCCACTGAAGAAGAACCAAGTGGAAGGGGAAAAATCTGCTCACCTCCCCAGGCCTGTTAGGATGCTGGGCATATCACTAGCCAGAATACACAGCGCTGGGGCTTGAAACTTTGAGCCAGCTATCACAAAACAAATTCTGGTAAGATCAAAGCAGCTCCCCAGTCTCCGGGCTTGCCTGTTTGATGTGATGTCGATGGAAAAACTGAAGCGATCTCCCTGGGGTTATGTGGTTCCTGTTACAGCTCCAACTTAATGGAGCTCCATGCACTATCAGTATCAAAAAGAGTGTTACTGGTTCCAATGCTGTCATCTGCTTTGCCGGGAAACAATCTTGAAATGGTGGCTCCTATTCAAAGATCTTTCCGTTTCCCCCACTGCTCACCTCATCTCTTATCCTGGGAAAAGCGGGAAAAGCGAAAAGAAAACAGAAAGCCCCGAGTAGGTTCTCTAGGTGAGATTGACTGTTATGGGGGTTTGCGGAGCATTCAGAATAAAAGAACATGAAAGACACTGTAGACTGGGCCAACCTTATTCCAAGACACTGAAAGGCTGGACAACACATCCAATTACCATGTCATATTACACAGGGAAGCCATTGAAATTCATAAACATAAACACAATTTCAACAGGAAAGAGGAGCATTTGAAAATAAATAGGACACAAAATGCTCTACATCTTACAGTAGCACTACAGATAAAATTAGAATTTCAACAACCAATCCATATGCAAAAGAACCTCCTCAGGAAAGCTCCTCCATTAGCATGTCACAGCCTGGGGAACTCCTACAAGATAATGACTCAGCCCTACCCCACCTTCCTGAGTAGATATAAATCACCTGCTTACCATTTTTCTTCTCACCTTGACACAGAGAGTACTCCATCTTTCTGTGTTATACCTCTGAGGATGCCAGTCACAGCTGCTGGCGAAACGTCAGGTCCTACAATGCCAAGACCACAGCCGTACATTCCGGAAAATCTACAACTACTAATACTTTTAAGAACTCTGGACAGCCAGTTAGAACTGCAATGGCCCTGCTGGACAAAAGCCCATGGAAGGAGTTGGTGGGTGTCATTATTGTATTGACTGTAATAGCTGTTGTCCTAGACCACCTTGAACATGGAGTAAGGTGGTTTGTGAATTCTTAAGTACCTACTTATGGATAAATGTGCGGAATACTGAGCTGTGGGGGTGCACTTGCTCAATGGGAAGGGAGTGGTGCTCTTTACATGCTCAGAGGTACTTTTCTTTATTATGGCTCATAGCTGCTTCTTTTTTTAAAAGGGAGATCCTTGACCATAGATAGAAGAAATGGCACTATGAGGGTATTTCAACGTGTGTGGGGCTGGAAGGTGAATAACTGCTAAGTAATCAGGGCTTGCAGGTTGATGCCTCATCTCACCTCCCCCCTGGCTCCCTCTGTTCTGCCAGCTACACATTTGCAGCCAGATTTCAACTCATAAACACAGAGCACTCCCAATGGATGAAATATTGGGGTGAATTGTAGGGTGGAAGGCATTTCTGCACACACCTTTTAAAGCCATGTATGTTCATGGCCACCACCATGCCCACTGGAAGTAAGGCCCACAATCTACTTGGGTAAAGAAATGTTTCCCTTTGCCTGCCTTGTAACCAATTACCATCAACACATTCATCGAGTGCCCTGAATTGTAGTATTATTTATGTATTTATTTTATTTATTAGATTTGTACCCCGCCCTCCCCAACGGGCTCAGGGCGGCTACAACAGAGGCAACTGCCATAACAACAGTTAAAACAACATAAAAGTAATCATTAAACAGTATAAAACAATCATTAAATAAAGTGCAGTGCTCTTGATGTTAAAGTTTTCTAATCCAAGATGAGTTCCATTCATCAACCTAACCTGACAACATACATTCTTCGGTTGACTAGGCGTCTGCCCAGGGCCAGGTCACCTCCAGATCTAATCCACCGTCGAAGATGGCAACTCGGTGGTGGTACAGTGACGGCGGCGGCTCCTATGCAAAGGCCTGGCGGAAGAGCTCCGTCTTGCAGGCCCTATGGAACTGCGCCAGGTCCTGCAGGGCCCGAACCTGCTCTGGGAGCTCATTCCACCAGACGGGAGCCGCCGCCGAGAAAGCCCTGGCCCTGGTTGCAGCCAGTTTGATGTCCTTGGGGCCGGGAACCACCAGTAGGTGCTGCGACCCCGACCGTAGTTCTCTCTCCACTCCATGTATAATTTTATAAAACCTCGATCACATCCCCATTGGCTGTAGTCTTTAAAAAAATAATCTTAAATCCGCAAGATTCTTTAAACTTTCCTTATAGGAAAAGTGTCCAACCCCTTAATCATCTTGAGTATCATCTTCTTCCCCCTTTTCAGGACGGGGCATCCAGAACTGGAGACAAGGATCCAGAGGAAGCTGCACCACCATAGATCCATGTTTCATTTTCAGACCCTAGTAATCCCCAGCATGAATGTAGCCTTTGTTACACTGCTGTACCTACACTGAATCAACATCACCACTAAGCTGTCCACTGCAACCCCAGGAGATCTTTCTCCCTCAGTCAGGGCCAGTTCAAACCCTTTGAGCTAAAGCCCAGAGAATTATGGGATAAGGAAATGACCAGGCCAGATTGCAGGTGGAGGATCCCATTTTGGCGTGTGTGAAAAACTCCCTGCAACTAGAAAAGCAGTTCAGCAAGCTGTGTATGATTCTCTTACTAACATTATTTTACTAATTTTATTAATTTTCTCTTGTTAATGTTTTTATACTATTCCTGTTATTACTGTTTTAATCCTTATATCAGAATTGTGCTGTTTTACTGGCTCTTGCTGTAATAAATTAGATCGAGCGAATCTTTCCCTCTGCAGTTGGTTTTCAGTTGCCAGGAAGCCTTTGGGTGCACATTTGTGCCTGAATATACAGTAAATCTATCTGGAATTTCACAAATACGAACTCTATAGATGGAGATCCATCTGTGCAAATATAGGCATATATTGACATTTCATTATTTATTGATTTTACTTATTTTAGCCTGCCTTTTCTCACCAAGACTGAAGGCGGGCTACACCACGTAAAGAGGTAAAGGCTCCCTTGCTCGAAAGCCAGTCGAGTCCGACTCTAGGGTTGCGGTGCTCATCTCCGTTTCAAAGCCGAAGAGCCAGCGCTGTCCGAAGACGTTTCCGTGGTCACGTGGCCGGCATGACTAAACACCAAGGCGCACGGAACGCTGTTACACCATGCAAATCGAGCCAATTAACGCGACAAGGCATCTAATAAGCCACGCCATAGAACCCAGGATTACAGCAGCTCAAAACACAAAGCATTAGACTGTTACGTTAAACAATGCAGAAAATGGCATTACAGAAGTGTAAAATCAAAGCCGCGTCAGTAGAATAATGCATACGGCAGAGAGATAATGCATACTATACACACTGGTATAGCTCACAGTCCAGCCTTCCTGCATTATTATATTAATGCAACGTATATTCAGAATATATATGCATCCACCTAATAGGCAGATCACGCCCAGGTCTCCCTCGTCCCTGTGCATGAATCCTCCTTCCATCCACCCCCCCGCCACTAGGTTCCCGCTCCGCTTTCTCCTCTTCTTCCTATTCTATGCCTCCTCCTCCCCCCATTCCACGCAATGGTCCTTCCCGTTCCTGTTATTCCGTTCCTCTTTCCCCGCCCCCCCCACCCACCACGATGGTCTCTCCCCACTCCCTGCCCCCTTCCCCTCCCTCGCGCGCGCCGCCCGCTCCATACTTGGCGATGGCCGGCGAGCCGCGCGCCGATTGGCCGAGGCGCCGGCGAGGCGAGTCGCGGGGGAGGGGCGGGGCCAGGAGCGCGCCTGCGCCGCTGACCCGGATGTTCAACTGCTTGGCAACGGCGGAAGTGGGGGGAAAAGGAGGAGGAGGAAGAAGAGGAAGAGGAGGAAGGCAAAGAAGAAGAGGAGGAGGAGGAGGTGGAGGAAGAAGAAGAAGAAGAGGCCGCGGCCTGGCTCAGCGCTGAGAGAGGCCGGACGGAGGGACCGAGCGCCGCCGCCTCTGACGCCCGAGAGAGCCCAGGCCCGCCGAGACAACATGGTGAGGGGCCCGGCTGTCAAGGGGAAGCCCCGCCCCCTGGGACTGGGGGGGCGGCTGCCCCGGGGAGGGGAGGGGGGAGTGGGCAGTTTGGGGCTGGGGTGTGTGTGTTCATGGTGGGCCCCTTAAGAACTGATGCTGGGAAGGGGGGGAGAGGGCACGGTTGGGACAGGGGAGGGCTGCCTCCACGTTCTCCCCTCCCCCCCCCCCCCGGGAGGGTTGCTGGCCAGAGGGAAAAGTCCCCCCCCAGGCTTCGAAGTGGGGAGGGGTTTATGGGGGTGGCAGACAGTGTTCCCTCTAAGCTGAGTGAGTGTGAGCCAGCTCACAGTTTTTTTTTAGCCTCCAGCTCGTGGTTTCTTGTCTCCGCCCAGGGAGGAGGGCTCCAGAGAAGACTGATTCGTGCAATGCCAATAGTAGCTCACAGAGTAGAATTTTTGCTCACAGGACTCCACAGCTTAGAGGGGGCCTTGGTGGCCAGTGGTGAGTGTGAGGAAGGGGCTGCGCCTTGCTCTCAGGAAGGGAAGCTGATCTTCCCCCTTAGTGCTGGGGAATGGAGAGGGGGTGAGTTGGGATGTGGAAGTGGGGGAAGTGGTGGGGGTGGGAGGGGAGGGGTTTCCTTGGTGGGAGAGAGGGGGGCTTGGGGAGGAGTGGAAGGGTTTCTTGAGTCGCTGGGGGGCAGTTGTGTGAAAAGGGGGGTAAGCGCCAGTGGACATTGAAGGGGCAGTAGGCATGAAGGTTAGATGTGGCTGATTGGGGTTTAGGATGGGCTGCTGAGAGGGGAGGGTGTGGTAAGGGAGGAAGAAGGGCTCTGTAGAGGTTCCCAGCTGTGCAAGAGTTTATTGTCCTGACTGTAGTGTCCTTGGGGCAAGGATCTCTCTTTCTCTTTGGTTAGCTGCAAATAGGTGTCAGGAAAACAGTTATCTGGGAGTTCCTGTGGGAAATGGGAGTGAAGGGTACCAAATGTGTGCTGTGAGAAAATGAGAATGGAAGAAGTAACAGTTTCAGGTGAGAATCAAGCTGTCCTTCCGAAAAGCTTGTGCTAGAATATAACCTTATTAGTGTTCAGTGTACCACAGGATTCCTGATTATCATCTGAAGAAGATGGTTCTCGTTGGGCCAGGAGAGTTTTTGCCACGGACACTTGATGACGACTGTGGGGAAGGTCTGGGGTTGGATGGGTGCAGCTAAAAATGTGGTCTGGCAGTGAGCTGAAAGGTCACTGCCTTCACTATCTCCTCTCCGCTGGTGGGACTTTGGTAGTACAACGATGTGTAGTGAGGTAACAGTCATTGGTTTTGTGGTTTGTGTGATGGAAGTTTGTGCTTTCCAACAACAGTATCCTAGACCACATCTGCTGGTGCACAACTAGTAGTTAGAATTTCCCTGTTTTCAGGGTTCGTTGTGGTGTGGGCATGTACCTGTACTCTAAAGCAGGTGGAACATCTGGGGTGGTACGGTTTAAATTGCTTTTGTGGACTGGTCCAAATGTTTTGCCAGTTCACGTACACGTACTTACAAGGCACAGTGCAATATGAGTGGCGAATTTCTCAAGTTAACTCACCCAGAATGAATGCTTTGTCTTGGGCTAGTGTTGGACTGTAAGACTGGCATTGTGGAAATGAGTGAGAGAGCCCTAACAGAGCTATGTGCTGCATCCTTCCATGTGAACACATGGAACTTCCTTTGAGTCAGGCCATTCACCCATGCAGTGCAGTATTTTCTACCTCACCTGGTAGTAGCCGTCCAATATTTTATGTTTTTCTTGTTCATGAGATCCTTTTAACTGGGGATGCTGGGCATTGAGACTGAGGGCATACTATGTGGTGTGCCACTGAAGTGTGTTCCTTTCTTTCTGAACATGTGCAGTTAAACTTATCAGAATTCTTCCTTTTTTGTGTGTGTACCAGATTATATCTTTGAACAGTAGCCCCACCCACTTTTCAATGTCTTAACTATGCAGGTTTCCCTGACAGATTGTCTTTAGGTTTATCTAATCCCCCATCTATGTTTTTTTGTTTTTCCATAAGTTTTTTCACATTTCCCACATCTGTGTATTAATACCTTCATTCCTTAATCTGTCTCTTAAATTTTGAATTCCTTCTGTTTTGGAGAATTAATGGGGAAATATGCAGAACAGTTTAGCTACTTATATGTTGTTTGTCTACTGGAAAGCTGGGCATGTGTTCTGCGTTCCCTCAAATGCGGGGACATGAGTTATACCCAAAATAATTACACTTTCACTAGCTAGGAAAGTGTCACTTGGTACACATATAGCTCAGGAAAAGTGTGGAAACTGGATGCTTTTGCGCTTAACAGTTCAAGTGTGGGACCTGCAGTTTGTTTCCCAGTACTGGGCAGCACTCTGTGTGTAGTAAATCCTAAATGGCACAGGATGAGATCTCCTTTGCTTACTGGAGTTGGGTGGTGTGGGTTCCAGCAGTTGCTGGGAAGATAAAAGTATAGTTTCAGGGACATGGCCAGAGTTCTAATTACTCAAGTTTGTGGTCTTCTGGTGGGCACAGGAATGTGGAACTGCTTTGAGAGATGCACTATTGTAGAGCATTTTTCATGTGAGAGATGTGTGGAAAATGACATTGTTAAAGGGAGCCGGTTATTGGATTAGGACTATGACTTAATGCCTGTGCTGAGTTTGCAACTCTGCCGTATTCTAGAATTTCAGGATGCTGCTTGCTTCTTAGAACCAAGGTTGCCTCCATAATTATGTGAGCAGGCCTCCCTAGTACCCTCAGGTTTTCAAAAAATTGCTGTCTGAAGCATGCGGCTATCTTCTGAACTCTCCATCCGTCCAGGAGAAGAAATAGGAGGTTGTCGTGCCTCCTTAAACCAATCTTGTTTTAATGATAAAGACCTGCTCGTCTTAATTTCCACTTGATGCCCTCTGGTTAGTCTTTCCGCGTCTGGCATTCTGAGAAAACGCTGGCTTTAAGATTGCGCGTGGATGAGAAGTTAATTGGGCGAAGGAAGTGTCAATTAACTCAGGCTCAGATTGGGCAGGTATTTTTTTCCGGATTGATTTGAGTAGATGGTATCTTTTTATTAAGGGCTTAAGAGGCGGTGAATGTTGCTGCAAACGTCAGGTTACCTTATTTCTCTGTGTACAGGAGTCTCTTGGGTACTTGTTCTGCAGGACTAGCCTGGAGACCTTTTTAATCCAGGCCTGACATGCTTGCGGGTTGGTATGCATGTCCAGTAGGAGCATTATGGTGTTTGTCGCCCGGCAGTAAAACCTAAGCATACAGTATAATGTAACACTTGTCTATTTTTAGAGTGGTTGATACTGTACTTGCCTGGAAAAATGATTCCTTTTGGAGGAGGCAAGGGCTGCACCCAGGCTGCCCTTTCCTGCCCCCCCCCCCAGCTGACTTAGCAGTGGAACCAGAAGTGGGGTGGGGAGGCGCTTCAAGGCAGGGCCCCTGCTGGCACTGGCGCCTTGCGCTACGGTTCTTCTTTGGGTCTGCACCATGGACCGAGATCCTGCGAGAATCTCTGGGCTGCTGTTTGTCAGAGGAGAGACTGATGCAAGGGATTGCCTGCATGGCTTGTCAAGTGTAAAGTAAAGTTGTTGTTGTTCAGTTGCACAGTCGAGTCCGACTCTTTGTGACCCCACAGACCACATGACGCCAGGCCCTCTTGTCCTCCGTCGTCCCCCAGAGTTTGCTCAATTCCATGTTTGTTGCCTCGATAACACTGTCTAACCATCTCATCCTTTGCCGTCCCCTTCTTCTTTGACCTTCAGTCTTTCCCAGCATCAGGATCTTCTCCAGGGAGTGCTCCCTTCTCATTTGGTGGCCAAAGTATTTGAGCTTCAGCTTCAGTCTCTGGCCTTCCAGGGAACAGTCAGGGTTGATTTCTTTTTGTAGCAAACAGTGATTCTGAAACACCATGCACCAAGAAGCTGAATAATTAGTCTTCTGTGGTCCTCAGAGACACTGCTGCCTTGCCTCTGTATGGAACGTTGGCTGGGAGCGAGCCTCCCACCAATACGCAGTTGCCTTCGAGTGGCTAAGTAAGTCGGTTGCGGAGTGATCAAGTGATCCGAACCAAGCACAGTGCAGAGATGCAGTGGGGCCACCTTTTCTCAGAAGAGCCTGCTCTCGGGTCCCTGATCTTCTTGAATCACCGTTTGTCTCCTCCCAATGAGGAGGCATGCCCAGAGCAGTAACTCATGCAGAGACAAAGGGGACCAGGTCCTCTGTGGGTATGTAATCTTGGTTTACTCTTTCCTGTTCTTAAGGTAATTAATGGGGAGGGGAGGGCGAAGTCTCCTAATTTGACTTCAGAGATTAGAGTTTCTGGAAAACTGGTGCAACTCTGCCTTGTTCGAGTTCCACTTAATATTGTTGCCATTGCTTCTCTAGCTGCTAGCAATCATCTGTTGGGTACAGAAACGACACACTCAGTGAAGCGTTTTGTTTTGCCCTGTCCAAGGTGCAGGCGAGGCTTAATGTCCTCTAGTTTGCCCTGCCAGCTTGGAAGTCTCCATGAATGGCACCTGGAGTAGTAATACCACAAGATCAGACAGTCACCTGCTGAATGCTTGAAAAAGAATTGGACCAAATACCTGAAGGCATGTAATCCTAAACAGGTTTACCCTGAAGTAAGTCTAATTGAGCTCAGTGGGGCTTACTCCCTACTAAGTGTCTTTAGGATTGCAGCCTAAGTCTCTAGCCAGTTGGTGGGTCTGGTGAAATAGAATCTACATGCCTAGCGGCAGCATACTTCTAAATGACTGAGGTGGAGGACAGAACATCCAGTCTACATGCTGTACTTGTGAATGCTGCTGAGGCTGGCCGCTGCTGTCAGTGAAATATGAGGCTGCCCTTATTGGAATGAGTTCCGCTTTCACACATGTGGAGGCTGAAAGAGGGCCCAGCCTGAGATACTGGAAGTTGAGTCTGGGACCCTCTGCATGCTTAGCTGAGCCTTAGCTGCCCCAACCCCACCCCGTCATGACCAACACAATGACAGAATCAGGCATTTGA